ATTCTAAATTATTGCATGTAAATTTTTATTTCTGAAACTAAAGTTTTTTATCTAGTATCATAACATAAACAAACATTGAAACTATTAAAAGCGACGGATATGGGCGAAGATAAGCGGGAATGCCAAAATTGGAACGTTTGCATAATTTTGAACAATTTTCTTAGGCTTGGCCCTTAACTTGATCAGTGGTTTGTGTAGAATGGCGATGTATTAGTAATATTGGTTTAGAGGTCGATTTTGGCCGATAGAGATCTTGTCAATAATCGTTTATTAGCCATTACGTAATGAATGTGGGTGTTAAGTATATTGTGTAGTTGACCTTGTAATAGTTAATCTTAATATTCCTTCACCTTATTCAGATTTCGTCATGTTACCCCTAATTCGTTTGAATATTTTTTGTTATAAAACGGAATATAATATTAAGAACCTAGTATCTTAAATTGAAATTAAATCTGCAATCTTTTACAGACATCATAAAAGGCTTATTTAATCAAGGTTATAAAAATAATCTTAGCTTAGCGATAATAATAAGCTTATTTAATGTATTTAGCATCATGTGCCCACTGCTGTGCATATTTAATGTTTCCAGTATGCACCCACCAGTAACAATCCGGACAACTTGGACATCAAAATAGTTGGCAAATAACAAAAATTGCTGGAAAGCCAAATTCTGGAGGAGAGCTACAGTTTACCATAACAAATAAAGTTTGTCCCCATCGATCCCATGTGTGCAACAAAAGTTATTCGGGGTCAAAGGTCAAAATTTGAGATTTTTTTGGTTTTTCTCGAAAACGCTAAGTTTTATAAAAAAAAACTCAAACCAAAGTTGTAGATCTTAACATTCTCTACAAAAATAGACCTTACAATTTTTTCCTAAGAAATACCGTTCCTGATATATCGCCATTTTTAAAGTTACTTTATACATTATATGCACATAATAAGTCACGGATGTAGATAAGACAAGTATAAATGCCTATTTGTGTCTCTTTTCTTTAATATATTATACTATTCTGAAAATATTTCTTCAAAAGATTCTTCTTCTCGTGCCACTCCTAGCGGAGATTGGAAATCATCATGGCCACTGCGACTTTGTTAGCAGCGCGCCTGAAAAGTTCAATCGAACTACACCCGAACCATTCACGTAGATTACGAAGCCACGATATTTTTCTTCTTCCCACACTTCTTTTGCCCTTAATTTTGCCCTGCATGATGTTTCTTAAAAGTTCGTACTTTTCACCTCTCACAATGTGCCCCAAGTATTCCATCTTTCTAGTTTTTATCTCATTTAGAATTTCGCATCTTTTGTCTAAAGTTTGGAGTACTTGCGTGTTAGTGACGCGGTCCATCCATGATATTCTGAGAATGCGCCTATAGCACCACATCTCGAAAGCTTCGATGTTTTTTATGGTCAACTGTTTTAGTGTCCAAGCCTCAACTCCATATAACAGGGTAGAAAAGACATAACACCGCAGCATTCGTATTCGTAACTTTATATTGATATCACGATTGCAAAAGAGTTTGCGCATTCTATTAAAGACTGATCTAGCGATTTCTATTCTACATCTAATCTCTTTTGTTTGATCAGTATCGTCTGTGATCCAAGCACCTAGATATTTATAACAGGGCACACGCTCAATCGTTGTATTGTCTATTACAAGATTAGCTCTGATGTTCTTTGATTTCGTGATTACCATAAATTTAGTTTTTTTCAAATTAATTTTCAAGCCGTAACTGTTACAGTATATATTGAGACTTTGAACGAGATGTTGTAGTTCTACTAGCGTTCCCGTTAGGAGAACTGTATCGTCAGCATACCTTATATTGTTGATCGTCTCACCATTTATTATCAGACCAAGATCTTCTTCCTCGAGTGCTTGTTCACAGATAGCTTCACTATACAGATTAAATAAAAGTGGCGATAAGATACATCCCTGCCGGACTCCTCGACGGATTTGAATTTCTTCTGTTAGTCTGCCCTCAACCTTGACATTTGCTGTTTGATTCCAATATAGATTGCATATAATTCGAATATCTCGGCTGTCTATATTTTTCTTTATTAGAACTTGTCTTAGTGGTTCATGTTGTACTTTGTCAAAGGCCTTTTCGAAATCAATAAAGCAGGCGTAAATTTCTTGGTTCATGTCTAAGCATCTCTGTGAGAGAACGTTCATTGCAAACAGAGCCTCCCTTGTACCCAGCCCTTTTCTGAATCCCATCTGAGTGTTACTGATGTCTACGTCTAATTTCCTATAGATCCTATTATGGATTATTTTTAAGAACAGTTTTAGAGCATGACTCATCAAAGCTATCGTACGATATTCGTTGCATTCCTTTGTATTTGCCTTTTTTGGCAGTAGTATAAAGGTCGAACGGAGCCATTCCCTAGGTATTATTCCAGTTCTATATATTGTGTTAAATAGATCTAGGAGTATTTTAATAGATTCATCGTCCATAAGTTTGAGCAGTTCTACGGGAATTTCATCAGGACCGGGGGCCTTACCACTTTTTGCTTGTTTGATTGCATATTCTATTTCTTCTCTGATTATATCAGGCCCTGTATCATCTGTATATTCGTTTGAGATTTCTTGTCTATCTTTGTCATCAAACAGTTGTGATATGTATTCTGTCCATCGGTTCATTTTTTGTTGTAAATCTGTTATAATTATACCATCTGTATCTTTGATCTGTCCTGTCTGTGTTGTTCTTCTCCTTCCTGTCATTTCTTTAATCTTTTTGTGTACATTAAAAAAGTCATATTTTCGCTCCAATTGTTCCAACTCATGGCATTGCTCACTTAGCCATCTTTCTCTAGCTTCTCTTATTTTCTTTTTTATCAGTTTATCTGTTTCTTTGTATCTTATCGGATTATTTGTTTTGTGTACCCTTCTTTCACGCATCAACTGTAGTATTTCCTCATTCATCCATTCTTTATGTTTCCTTTCTTTCGGTGTTAAATTTTCTCTCCCTGCCAACATTACGGCATGTTTAATATTCTCCCATTTTTGGTCTATGTTATCAGTATTTCTATTCAGTTTCTCTATATTTTGTAAATTTTCTTTGATGTTCACTATTGTTTTCTCTTTTATATGTTGTTCATTCAGTCTTCTCACGTCAATTTGTTTCTGTATGTGTTTTTTAATGATCTTTAGTTTTATTCTTAATGTGACTACTACAGGATTATGATCCGAGCCTATATCTGCTCCTGGGTAGGTTTTAGCTGAGAGTATAGAGTTGCGGAATCTTTGACTAACAAGGACAAAGTCAATTTGGTTTCTGACTACTCTACCTTTGGTGTCACTCGGAGATTTCCATGTGTACAGTCGTCTGTTAGGTAACTTAAAAAGAGTGTTAGCAACTACTAACTCCTCCGCTTGACAAAATTGTACCATACGGTCTCCTCGTTCGTTTCGTTCTCCTAATCCATAGTCACCCACATAACCGTCCACACATCCATGTCCAATTTTGGCATTAAAATCGCCCATTACTACTGTAGTATGATGTTTCTTCATTGATTTTAGAATTTGTTCCAGATCGTAATAGAAACTTTCAATTTCATCATCATCTTTATCAGCCGTAGGAGCATATACTTGTATAATATTTATAATTTGTTTATTTGACTGAAGTTGTAGTGTCATTATTCTATCAGAGAAGGGAGTAAAGCTTGTTACACAGTTACTAATTTTCTTTGATACCAAGACAGCGACACCGTAACGATGAGTTGAACTGATAGTGCCTGAATAATAAAGTGTTCCACTGTGATTCGTGCATTTTCCTGATCCTGGCCACTGTACATCACTTATACCTAGGACATCAATTTTAAGGTTTTCCATTTCAAGGGCTACATTATTTAATTTACCTGCTGCAAAGAGGCTTCTTACATTCCACGTCGCTATTCTTAATATCTTAAGGTGATTGATATTACTTACACAGGGATTTCGCTGGTTCACGACCCGAGAGGCCCTATGGTCTGTCTGTGGTTTTCCTCTCCTGCCGGATCTTGGGTTCCGAGGTCCATGATCAGTAGCATGAGTGATTGATGTGACATTTGCCATCATGATTATACTAGGGAATCTTAAAGATCATTAATACAGTGGTTTCCCGTTGCCTTCTGTATCCTTACGCCGTTGACCATTCCTTGATTCATCCGCCTTCGAGACAGATTTCTCTATCTCAGGACAAAAGAGTGCCCTGTCACTTACCAACTCATCCGCCCGAAGCCGTTGGTAGGTAAGTGGGGGATTGCTTATACCGGCAATCGCTCGGTGGAATTGTCGTCATATCTGGCTACCCTCACTTAGTTTAGCCTGCAGACCAATGCAGTTGCCTTCAAAAGATAATCAGTCCCAAACTGAATTTCCTCTATCCACGTGGCCTTGAAAAACATTTGGCTATACCATTGTTTAAAAAAGAACAGATTGTCTGTTGTAAGCAATTGCTACAGTATTGTCCGTAGGTCTTGTTCATATTATCTGTTTCGTTTAGTGCTAAAGGTTCAGTTCAAGTGAATATAAGTACTTATTACAAGTGTCTACCATTTAGTACCGTTACCGTTATTTGTACAATTTTATAGTTTTAAAAATGTCTCAGTTTTGCTTTATTTGCAATAAACTTTTAAGTGAAACTAAAACAGTTGTCGTTGATCGAGGAATGCCAAATTTAATCGAGGCTAGTGTCGCGAGAGGTGATGAGTTTATTGAGTATTTAAAAACTCAAAAATCCGTTACAATACACGTGGATTGCAGAAAATCATACATTCGGAAAACTTCAATCGCTGCAGTGAAAAGACAACGTGAGGAGGAACAGGCTAGTACTTCAAAAGTAAGTCCACTTATCCTCATACTAGAACGCGAGTAAGTAAATCACATTTTTGTTTTAAAAAATACTGTTTATTTTGTGGCAATGAAGCCAATGAAGAAACTGAGAAAAAGAAAGCACAGCATCTTCGAAAAATAATTCGTAACGTAACTACACTAAAATTCAAAGAATCCTGTTGAAATTAGCTAAAGATCGTTCTGATGATGTTTCGAAGGCTGTTCTTGAACGTAATTTGAGTATGAGTCGTGCTGATGCAAAATACCATGATAGTTGTTACAAATCTTTCTTAAAACCTAATACTGGTCGTAAAATTGGCTGTCCACAAGATGAAACTGTAAACTCTGCGACGGAGAAAATGTTTCAATTCATAGAAACGAGTGATGATTGCCAGTTTTCGTTGGATGAATTAAGGAATGTTTGTCAAGATGTAGTTTTATATGACAGAACTATAAAAATACGATTAAAATTGAAGTATGGTAGTAGAATTATTATTACAGAAAAGCCTGGAAAATTAACATTTATTTGTTTTATTGACAATTACCAAGATATTTTAAGTCAAGTCTGATCTGATAAAAAAGATTTGGATGCAAAAGACAAGATGCCGATACCTAACCGATACGTAACATTTGTAAAAAATACTCAAAACAAGAAACAAGTACAACTATCATGTCTTCCTCCAACATCAGCACTGCTTTTCAACATTTGTATCGAGTATATTATCAAGTTCAAACATGGCTAGGCAATGAACTGAATCCAGAAGACTGGGTTGGAAATTAATAGATAATACTCTGGAACCGATTAAAACCTTACTCCCACCTGCCCAGAAAAACTCCTTAACACTATTTTTTGCAATTGCAAAAAAGGTTGTAGTGCCAAATGTGGATGTAAAAAAGTCGGGTTGCTGTGTTCTCTAGCGTGTACCAACTGCCAAGGTCAGTCTTGCTCAAATGTCCAGTTTAGTACAACAGAGGAAGACTCCTGTGATTTTAATGAAGAGACCAATGACTCAGTCACATTTGAACAATTTTTGAACATCCAGCAAGAGGAAGAGGAAGAAGATGAAATCGAAGAAGACTTGACTGTTGAAGTAGACTTTCAAGAATATAAATCTGATTAAAATATCTAAAGAAATCAAAACAATAGTTAACCTAATAATCAATAGCAATATCAATAATCAATATCAATAATAAGGTAATATCTAGAACTTGACCGGTATTGTCTCCTTAAATTATCCTATAATTGTCAAAACAGTTGATGGTGTAGGCCTACAGAGGAAACCACAGTAAAAAAAACGCGCCGAGTACACTACCTCACAGGTGGTGTGGAAACGTGTGCATATTATCATGTATAATGTGACTCTTAGAATCGCGATATCTCAGGAATGGCAACTCTTGTTGCCATTCAACTCAACTTCAAATGTCAACTCAACAAAAAAATAGTAAGGACTATTTTTGTAGAGAATTTTAAGATCTACAACTTCGGTTTTAAGTTTTTTTTTGATAAAACTTACCGTTTTCTATAGAAATCCAAATAATTTCAACTTTTGACCTTTGACCCCGAATAACTTTTGTTGCACACACGGGATCGATAGGGACTTTAAAAAATTTATTTGTTATGGTATACTCTAGCTCTCCACCAAAAAATTGGCTTTCCGGCAATTTTTGTTATTTCAAATGTCCATATAGACCGGGTTATAAGTATTATTTGATGTTGCTTGCTTCAAGTCACCGTGGCCATTCGTGGGCACGGTTTATATTAGTTTGACGTCTGGTGGCTGATTCGGTCGTCCCAGAAAACAACAAAATTCCAGAATGAATGTATTGGTTGTGATTTTTGGCAGTAAAAAAACTGATATAATTGTGTGTTTTTACATAGTGTAATACAAAAAAAGATTTAATTGTATCCTAATGTTAATAGAAATGAACGAACAAACTAAGCAAAATATTAAAAAACAAGTATCAAAATCTTAACGTAATACAACATAAATATTTTTTTTATAATTATGTTCATTTACAATCTTCATCATTACAGTAATTGTTTCATTAGTAAATTGTGTTTTTAAGTAAATGTTTTAATGGTTTGGGCGTGAAGGAGAGACACTCAATGATGCCTCACCTTATTCTATTTTCGTTTAGTTTTGAAGTAGCTCTTAATGCCAGATTCTATCTCTACTAGCTCATTTTCATGGTGAATGGTACGTTCATTTACTTACGTACCATAGTACAATCACTATCGATCTTAGTACTTTAGACTGGAATCTTTGTATGATATTCAGCGACGTTGGCTTAACATAGCCTCATAGGTGTAGGCTTTGTATAGAGGAATTTTGTTTTGGATCATAAGTTTTGACTTACGTCCAAGGAGCCAATTTACCAGACTCTTATGTTGACCTGTCTTCTTTTGGTTTGGATATGTTTCTTCCAAATGAGACGTTCGTCAAGATGGAGGTCAAGGTATTTAACGTCTGTTACTGTTGGTATTCTTAAATTTTCTATTCTTACAGTTGATTTTGTTTACTTTTGTTCTCCAATTTGTATACCATTCACTGAGTATGTTCAGATGATGTTGCAGGTTTTGTGAGGCTTGTATGGGATCTTATACTCATACTAGAGACTAATATGGGTATTATTAGTCTCTAGTATATCGGCTGTGTAGAGTGAGAAAAGCAGCGGCACTAGAACACTACCCTGCGGGACTCCGGAGTTGATAGGACAGAGGTTGGATTGTTGGTCATAGAGTTTTACAGAGAAATATTTATTTGATATGTATGATTTGAGTAGGAGGATATAGTTACTGGATGGTGTTATTTTTACTTTGTAAACCTGACCTCTGTGCCAGACTTCGTTAAACGCTTTTGAGATGTCTAGAAATATGGTGTTGGGTATTTCTTTTCTTTAAGACTTTTTGATATTTCATTTAGCAGTCGATAGACTTGTTGGGTAGTGGAGTGAAAGTCCATCTACCCAAATCCAATCCATCCATCCAAAACTACCCAACAGGTCCATCAGTCGATGGGTCGAAACTTGAATATGTCCTTGCCTCAGGCTCCTACTCCTAGTCTGGGGTATAATATCGGCCGGAGGAACAACTTCAGCAGCTTCTTCCTCGATATCAGATACAGCTAATTCATCCTCTCTTGAATCGGAGCAACAGCGTCAGACAAATTTTCCAACTTCCGAACCAATTCTTCTTCTGTACGACTCTTATTGCCATTATTGTTTGAAATCTGCAACAAAAGAAATAATGAAATTCGTGACCACTGGTGGACATTTGTTCCCACAATGTAAAATTACAACTTGGGGCCGCGTGACCATCACAAAAAACAAAGCTACAAAGTGTGTTTTAAATATAATAATAAAAATTCAAAAAATAGATTTATAGAAAAAAAAGGCATTTCACTTACTGGGTCCCAGGGAGTGACTAACCAATAATTACAGCGTGGTGCTAAATGTGTTATAGCAATGTTGTAATTTTATCTCTTATCCTCAGTTACTAAACAGTTTTTTGAAGTTTCAGAAATACTTTAATCTTTGTGTAATTATATTAAACTGTCAAACCTGTAATAAAGTTTTCGATTTCTTTTTAATGTTAAATAAATTATTTGTTTTATTTTCATAAACCTGATTGCGACATATCACCACCTCTATTGTAGGGGGTACTATACTTTACCTTATGTTGTTGTCTAGGATTATCTTTCTATAAAGCTATTGCGCAAAGTACCTCCATTTCTGTTTTTACAGTAATTTTTTGGTTTTTGATCTTCCTTGTCTCGTTTTTACATTATTATGTTTTCTAAATATTTAATGAAAGTCCATATCTCTGACTTACTTCTGTGATCCTATTCATTCTCCTTCTCCGTTCAGAAGTCAAAGGAGAAGTCAAAAATAGGAAAGTAGAAGACTGTTTTTTAATACATGTCTAAAAATGGATTTATCAGTATAACCTAAGAAAGAAATATATGGTAAAACATATTTACCGAAACTGACCTTGCAAACAGAATTCCAATGTACTCCTAAAAGTATCTGAACAATAATTTTGTGGTTTGTAAAGATGTCCTTTTGTTTACATTAGTTTAAGGTTTTGTTTACATTTCTGTATAATCCAAGATAAAAATATATGAAAACATATACTTACCAGAACTGACCTGAATATAATTCTGATCTAATCTTAAACTTAACTTAACAATAGTTTTGTTTTGTGACGAAGATATCCTTTCGTTTACATTATGTTAACAATTATTTTCTTTATTCTTTTTGAAACACAGCAACAGTAGAATGTTTCGAATATATTATTTTAATTTATGACCATGCATGTTCCCATTTAATAAACTTTTTACCACCAACCGTCACGGTCACCTTCCATCAAATGTAAACCGAGTAGTGGAGACCTATATAGCGTAGTAACTTTGGTTTTTCACCCAACATATGTATAAAATTTATGCCCTACATACCTTGGGGATAGTCAAGAATAACGGGTCGTTTGGTAGAGTTAAAGCATGCCATAATTTTAAAAAAGAAAACTGTAAAGTTTCCTGTAAATAGTTAACTGTTTCTACTAAATAACCGTATCGTTTGTTATAGAACAAATATACAGACTAGGACTTGTGAAGTTTTGTGGTTACCTCCAAAAGCCAAACATGAAGGTTTTTTAAATTCAATTAACCGCATTAATTATATCGGACGGGGAACAGTAACAATATACAAATATATATTTTTTTAATTTTGGATTGTTTAGCCAAATTGGCTATCTAGCCATAATGATCATGATCATTATGGCTAGATATTATTAACGTTATTACTTATATATGAGGTTGAATGAAAATCTCCTGTTTGCAAGTCTAGACTGATTAATGAGAGGAGTTGCTATTATAATACCAATTTCTTTCACTGGTTTGTCTTTTGCAACCGGGTAGTCATCCAAACTCATTAAAACTTTTAAATTGACCGCCCAATTATTTGGGTTGGTACCTGCACCTTGCTGATCTGTCAAAAGTATTTTGACCTCAAGGTTGGCTGTCCTTTTGCGGTTTAGTTCGTTCTGGTTCATCTAACGCCATTTTTCACGAGAGCTTAATTTCCCGACTCTGCACCCCCCACCACCTAAAGTTTTGGCAACGGAACAGTTTGAATTTGACAGTTTGACATTTATGAATTTGTTTGGACTTAACCTAACATTCGTGTCTTATTATTTTTTTTAAAATGCGTGTAACGTGTATATATTGTGATAAAATTTTTTCAAGAAAATTTACTTTAAGTAGACACGTCACACAAATTCATTCTAAACAGGTTGAACGCACATCGTATGCTAAAAATGTATGGGGGTTTAAATGTTTAGAACGTAATTGTGATAATTCCTTTCAACAAGGAAAATTTTTAATTAATCATTTGGAAAATTTTCATAACTTAAAGTTTGAAAGTGAAACGATTAATTTTACAAATATGGATGGTAAGTTTTATTTTAATATTTAATTTAATAGGATATATTTTGTTAAATTATTGTAGAATATTTCTATGTACTTAATAAAATATAATTAAAAATGTATAGTAATGGACATTTTCTAATTAA